CAAGATATCTGTTAGAAAAAAAACAACGATTGAATGATACTTAATTTCTCTACGTAGAATTCAAACTTATGATCTAATAAAAGGAGAACCATTTCGAGGTTCTCTACTTTTTTAAAGAAAAAACACAGGCACTTGGAATGAAATGGGGAATGCTATCATTCGAAAGAACATTCTTTAGCATTAATTTTTTGAAATTCGAACATTTTGGTTGGTAACTAACGAATGGCACACGTGATGCTTTGGTCGAAGGCCTGAATCGAAGCAGGATTGTCGAAAAAATGTAACGGTGGATTGTCACATAATCACAAGAGGTGAAGTTATCCACTCACCTAAGTATATAATAATAAATCTTAATAAATCCATTGTTTTATGCGATGTGTGGGAAGTGCCGCCGTCTTGTTGAAACTAAATGTCACGAGCTTCAATTTCAGGCATCAGATGGGCGGTTATCATGGCGCGATAACGGCCGCCATTGACCGATGATTTCACTGGCTCACAAACCGCACTAAACCGCTTTTTTTTCTGGACGAAATGGCAGCTCTTGAATCTCTTCAGATTGCTCTTCGACCCAAATATGGAAATTTTGTTGTTATTGCTCCTTTYCTAAAAGAAAGAAGACGAAAGAATGTCCCTACGAAGTTTCTAAACACAATAGCTCAAATAGAAGAATGATAAATGTATTCTACTAACGGACAACTGGTATAGTATACTATATTTGCCGACWTTCCAATCTTTCTTCTGATAGACAYCTTGAATTTACGAGCTGCTGATATGACATCTTCACATTTCAGTCAAGATATTTAGCTAATTCGATTTCTTYGAATATTAATCATATGCGAAGAAACAATAAGCATTGCTTTGGTGTTCCGGACTTTCCGAACACTGAACTAGAAACTTTCGAGGCATACCTCGTACTAAAAGTAACTTTTCTTTCAAAGTATAACTATATAACTAATTGTTAGTTTAAAACGAAAATATATTCGTCTCTTGTCATACTTTTACCACATATTCACAYATAACGGCATCCGCATATGAGCTCTTTCTCAAATAGAGCACATACTTTGCAGACAAACCTCGGTAGTTAAATAGTAGGTACAAATTGTRGGCGTGCTTGAGAAAACTTTGCCCACACAAACGCGCTTGTCTTTGTGTTTGCATTAGTACGAAGGAAAATGTAATTAAGCCAACCATGTTTACCACACATTTATATACCTACACACAGTCAAAACATTTTTACTTATGACATAAGCGCATAGACAAAAACACACACACACACAATAATTAAATATTTAATAAGTTTATAGGCAAACAAAGAACAAATTACACAAGTAAACAATTATTTTGTGAAAACAATAATTAAAATGTAGAAGTCACAAGAAAATATATATTTCAACATTTTCAATTCAATTTAGTATTGTTGTGMCAACAAATAATGGAAAAGGTGGGCGTGTGGTGCTTTTATAAAGCTATCAACYACTTGTAGTTATGTTACGTAAATGCGCATTTTTTATTATATGTATTGTATGTATATATTTTATCGCACYCGAAAATTTTCAAAAGTACTTCATATTAGTGAAAAATTTACTGACGATATTGAAGTGAAGTGTGATGACTTCCTACACTCAATTCCTAACCATTTTTGTGCTTACTCTCTCATTTTATCGTTCTATTGATTAATTTTTTCATATTAATTGGACCATGGCATCACCTTAATGCAGATATCATACCAATTTTGCCACAAAGTCGCTTTATTATTTWGTATTTTCATCTAGATTTACCACCCTGTCAAGAAAGTAACGGGTTTTTTTATAAATAAAATGAAAATTTTTCAATCATCATCCAAATTTATTTTATCGTCTTCAAAGTAACATCCATTTGAAGCGATGCACATGTGCCAACACTTCATTCAAACGTCAAAACATTTCTTATAGACACTTTCCGGGATAGCCTTCAGCTCTCGCGTCCAATTTGTTTTGATGTCTTCAATTGAGTCGAAGCGTGTTCCCCGAAGTGGATATACATATCAGTGTGAAGAATAAGAATAAGTCACAGGGGGCCATATCAGTTGAATATGGAGTTTGTTCAATGATATTTGTTCAGTGTTTGAATAAAATTTAACTCAAATATGTTAAAAAATTTTGTAAAATTCGAGRGACACCACTGAGGTCGACTGGCATAAACAGCTGCTGTACTCACTGCTTGACAGATCGCGCTAATTTTTGGTATCATAATTAAGGACAGTTGTACCAAGCTAGGAAAAAAATTTACCTGTCTTCCATATAAGCAGGAGATGAGAGGGGGAAATGAAGAATTCCCGATACTTTCTTGACAAGGTGTACTATATAGTAGCAAAATAAATGCATTATTATTTATTTAGCTTAGTTAAACTATCCGTTTTCGGTGAAATATGCTCTGCTTTATTCAAAAACTTGTTGCAAATTTGAGGATAATTTCATAAAGTTACACCTATAGACACATATAACTCCTCCTATTAACAAAAATTTTCCYCAAAAGCTTCTCTTGAGACGAATTTTCGAGCATCACAATCATATGCCATATACAAGAATGAACTGTAATCACTTGGTGACAGGTCCGAACTACAAGATCCATTCATAAAAAACTCCCAAAGTTTTYGGCGAATCACTGTAAAACAATATGTGTGGAATACAATTTCTTTCCGACAGTATACGTAGGTCCAAATTATAGAAGTTTATAATAGACGGTTGCTTAACCAAACACATATGTAGGAAAACCTTCTCGATCGTCAATCCTGACGTGGTCAACGTTTTCTACGGCGCAGCGCGATTCAACACATTTCGCGTGACGATGTCTTAAGTGATCTACCTTTTATTACCAGTACCCATGCGCCTCAGAAATGCCTCGATTTCGTCGCAACTCAGCAACGATTCGCGGATGGAAATGCGTGAACTCGTGTGGCAACCATACAACGAGTTTCTTTTTATATTCAACCTTATTTAACTTCAAAGGCAATGTTTAACWCCGAAAAACGCTGTTTAAACAACGTTAGGTTGACTTCCATTATTTTATCGATATATTCGACAATTGGCCTTCCTATATCCGGACCATAAATCCTTTTTATATTTTCAGCCGTCTGCTTGCGTTTTCAAAAAAAAAAAGTAAAATATGACATTTTTTTTATGAACAGCATCTTTGGCATGTGCACCAATTAAACCGGGTCAAGCATTCTAAAACTGTCAGAGAAGTTTTTCAAGGGCGATATATTTGCGTTTTAGGGCATGATGGCTATTACTAAATCCATATATTGGACTTCTTTTTACGCAATTTCTTCGACTGTGATTTATGTGTGTTGTGTTCGTTTTGCCACTCTGCAAAGGGCGATGGATTGAAAACAGCTAATAACTGTTAATGGATATACGTGTATTTTTTAATAGAATGCAACTTTCAAATGCAAATTTTTAATTTTTTACATTTTGACAAGATTTTTGAGGTTATATGGGTTTCCTTGGGTAAAAAATAGCCCTTTTTACATAACCTTTTCTCTCATAAAAAAAATAAATTTTCTATTAGAATTTTTCTGTTACAAACATACACTATTAATGAAAAAACTCTGAAATTTTTGGAAAGAATTTTAATATTTAATTATTACGATGCCATTTCCCTTGACTCTTCGAAAAAAGATGCGCGGCGTTGGCAAGGTAAATCTTTTACAGAATCATCTAAAGTGAAAAAATACGTGATTTAGTTAAAACCTTAACTTAGCACTTGAAGAAGGAAAAAAAAACTAAAAATTGGTTTTTTGGAAGACCTTTAAAAAAAAAAAAAAAAAATCAGTGAATATTTCGCATTTTTTTCAAATAGTTATAATCGAAAAAAATTCTTTATCCAAATCTTTAAGCTGTCTCTTATACACATCTAGATGTGTATAAGAGACAGGTCTTAAGTGATCTACCTTTTATTACCAGTACCCATGCGCCTCAGAAATGCCTCGATTTCGTCGCAACTCAGCAACGATTCGCGGATGGAAATGCGTGAACTCGTGTGGCAACCATACAACGAGTTTCTTTTTATATTCAACCTTATTTAACTTCAAAGGCAATGTTTAACACCGAAAAACGCTGTTTAAACAACGTTAGGTTGACTTCCATTATTTTATCGATATATTACACCTGTCTCTTATACACATCTAGATGTGTATAAGAGACAGGGCTGCAACATTATAGAAGCTTTTAGCTTTTGGTTAAAAAAATTCAGGAAAGTTCGGAATACTTGAAGTTCCAGCTTTTCTATAATCTCGCCCATCAATATGTTCTCATGAAAAGTTTCTTAACTTTATTGAGTTTTTTGYATTCAAACCAAACTAAATGAACGTGGCGGATAGGATCTACTAAATCGGATCTCATATGGAAATCATATGGCACTCAATTAGAGCAACTCGCATTTATTTAATCTCTAAAGTGTTCAGTTGGTGTAGCTCTGTGGGTTTCTCTCACCTTCTTTGAAGTTATAGGTAGCCCTCCTAAGCGTAGCCTTCGTGGCCCCCAAATACGACCACCACATACAAGGTAAAAGCTGCCCGCTCTGAATCCTGTAAATGTTTATGAACTTTTCTCAGTTTTTATAATTAAAAGTTTCGCCGCTAAATGGAAATTACGCATTTCGAATGAAATATTTTTATGATTTTGAAATTCGGCTGGCAAACTACATTAGAAGTTACACAACTTTCTGGCAAGCACTACTTATATAAATTTCATGTAGATGTGGGTAGTAATTATAGCCTGTGGGCGTAACCCATGCATGTAACATCAGCTAATAATGCTGCTTTCACCTAATTACAACGCGACGCGCACATTTCAAGTRCCGCTATAAAATAAATGGCGCCAATTCGATTAGCAACATTCGTGTCCACGCATTTCGAACGTTAAAAGCCACGCATTGCYGCTGACACATACATACTCGTTGTAGCCTTGAAATTAGCATATCAYTTTGTACGACGCCGTTAGCTGTATAGCTGTCATAACATGAGCGGTCTGTTGGGTRCACAGATGCCCATCGAACGCAGCTTCTTTCGCATTCCGCGCTTTTCGGCTCGCGTCGCCGGTTTTTGGCCACAATCAACTAATCGGCACCGTTCATGGCTAACTGCTTTGCGTTTCTGCRTGAATACCTTTGCCGTTGCCGTCGGCGGTTTCGGTGAGGTTTCCTACGGTTTCGTTTATTTGCACGATCTTTTTAGCGCGCTCGAGGCTTTCTGTCCGGGAATTACCAAGGTCATTTCACTATTGAAGATGACCATATTTTTTGGGCGCCACAAGCGTTGGCAACATGTGATCAATAGTATTCACCAATTGTTGCTGCTTGGTAAGTTCTGCGGGTCTCAGTGTCCTAACGCATAAAGGGTGGTTCTTAAAGTGTTTTTTAATCATTAGATTTTTCATAAGGAAAGTGCTTTCATTAAAGTGAGTTTTTTGTCGAAACGAGGTTCCGCCTGGGGGTGCTGGATTCTAGTTTGGACAGTAAGTTAGCGAGACTGTTAAGTGAGTGAAGTATATTTTCGGTCTCCGTCTTTGTGCGAATGTTTCTGCCGTAGCTGAATGTTTGAGCTGAGCCTAACCCTTAGGTGAGGTTCAGTTCAATGGCGCATAGACGCTTGATGTATGTTTATTTGTTGGAAATCGAAAATGTGAACTCTGAATAGAAATGTTTGGAGTCGTGGTGTCCTTGAACTGAGCCTACCTTATAAGTTAGGTTTAGTTCCATGGCTGATAGAGCTTGACATATGCTTCTTGAATGAGAATTAGAAACGTAGTCTGTAATTGGGAAATAATTGGTATCGTGGTAACCTTAGCCCGGTCGCTGTAGGTTAAGATCTAGGGCTGATAGAGGCATAACTAGTCTTATTTCTTGATCGGAAACAGAAACATATACTCGGACCATCTTTCAGTAAAAYAGGGTGTTACACCACTGATTCGTCTGGCGATTCTTATTTGAGGGACACCAAGGGGTTCGGTCCCCCTTTGTTTTGATTTGCAAAATGATAAAACTCACATTATGAACCACCCTYTACATATGCACACCACAGCCTGCTAGTTTTGTCGTAAAATCCAAATATTCGTGTGCATATGTGCCCTAATTTTGGCATAGTGCCTCCGTAGCAATTGTTGTTTYTTTGTAACTTTTCTATTTCACATTTGTTACTTCGCACTACCGTAGATACCAGCGCCGAAAAGCGCCGCATCGTGGAGCCACTGGCCTCGTTTGGTTCCACGTTGTCCTTTGTGCTGCTCTTATCTGGTTTGCTAACGAATACATTTTTCATCATTTTGCCGCTGCTGAAAATGGGCTACTACAAGTGGCAGTCGCTGGAAGTCGAGCTGTTATTGCCCTTCAATCTTATGTAAGTGAACTTATGCATTATTTTCTTAGTTTTTTTCGCACTCTGTTTCTGTTGCAACTCGCGCTGAGCATTAAATCTTAATTGCAAAGTTATTTTGAGGCTTATAAAACTGTGGGAATACAGAAAAGTGAGAGTTCTTTTAGCTTAAGGGCTTATCCTTGACCGCAGACAGTTCAATGCGGACCGCGTAGTGCGAAGTGTTGAGAAGTTTTGGCATTAACGTAGATTTTATATAGATGGAAATTTCACCATTTACTTGCAATAAAAAATATTAGATTGACTACGATTGGTGGCTAGCCGGCAAGTTTAAGTTGGTAGTGCCGATCGCGGATTCAGAATAATCTCTGATCCTGTGAAAACTACAGAAAATAACGAATTCTGGAACTTAGCTTATTTTGCAATCACAAGAAATATAAACATTTCCAAGGTACGCTGTCCATAGAGAGGTCTTTCGCAGGTTCTTTATTCTTGCACTACACCACACTAACACTAACTGTTGCAAATATCTCGAGGTCATTTTGAAAAGTTCTTTCCAGTGCCTACTCCGTTCATGGATGTAAGCTCAGCTCACAATATATGATATCCGCTTCGGATTTACCAGAAGAAAGCTCACATTTTTTTTAAAGATAGATGTGATCTTTAAGCGAAATATATCTCCTGAAAATATTGGATAGTCGAAAAGGCTTTTCGCCTTTCTAATAAAACATCAACTTTTTTTATATTTATAATAAAGTTTAATGAACAAATCATGTGCCAAAGATCACTTTTTGCCTACCAGCCAAGTTTCACCAGTTTATGTCCAGTCATCAATGATGTGTATGGTTTAGCATTGTGCTGATAGAAGACAAAGCCCTTTCACCGACAGAAGGAATTCACCGAACTTAATCCATTATTGATATAAAGAGCATCATGACCGTGATTCTTCTTCAAAGCCTTCTTTATCACTCTAGATCTGCTATAGACTTCATAGTTTGTTTAGAAAAACAATATCTTTGGTTCCATGACTCACTCTAGATCCGCTGTAGACTTCATATTTTGTTTAGAAAAACAATATCTTTACTTCCATGACTAGTTCAAAGCTGGATTGGTAGCAAGGAGTTTAAGAAGATTAGGTGTCTTGAGAATATAAGAAATTGCCATAAAACTTTACACAAACTGCCAAAAAAAAATACGTTTCACATTTTTATTTTTATTTTTCCAGAGATTCTGGTATTTTGATATATAACCGTGTTTTATTCCGTTATACCGTCCATGAAAGATGTTGAGATCCTCTGCTATCTCCCTGATACCAATACAAAGATTTTCAAGCACTGTTTCTTTAAATTTCTCGAAGCTATCGGCATTACAAGAGGTAAATGAACGAAAAACTGAATATTTTTTGCTATTTTCGTATATTTTGGTGTTTTAGTATTATAATACATTTTTCATCGTCAGGTAGACTGAATATTAGCCACTCCAAAAATCTTAAAACTAATATTTTGTTGTGCTCCTTTGCCTTCTATAATGGCTTTAACGCGCTGCGGCATCGAATTTGCCAAATTCTGCAATGTTGGTGCTGCGATTTTGTTATACCAGACAACCTCGAGAATTTTATCCAACTCGGCTATGGTACTGGGTCTCTACCTTGCTACCTTGGTCTTCATAATATACCAAWGGTTCTCAACAGGGTTTAAATTTGGGCTGTCACCTGGCCATTCTAACGTCAAAATTCCATTTTGCGAGAGGAAGATTTTTACCTAGAAATATAAAAAGATAAAAAAGGTACAATTAATATTGTTAATGAAATAATTTTTGTAACCTACAGGCATGCAAAAAAAAGTTATACCTACCATTTTRGCACGATGACAGGCGCAGAAACATCATGAAATATAAGATCGTTTTCTGGCGAAAAGTGCTCTTCGATTAAAAGTGTTAAATATTCCTTCAGTAATTGCTGGTACTTAATTGTTTTTCGGACGCACTCTTCGCTATAGTGTTCACCAGTTTTTCCCCTTACGTACGATCACCCGTCACTACATAACATGCTGAACTTGGACTCGTCAGAGAATATTACTTATTGGCAATCGACTTCAGAATTATAGCTCTCCGGAGGCGTTGTTGACGCATTTTTTTTTAAGTCAAAAGAGGCTCTTTTGCGATCGTTCAAATTAACATCCAAGAGCCTGTTTCGTATAGTTCTAGTAGTGATTTCGTTCCAAGGTTTTCTATAATCTCCATCTTGATGTCTTCARCGGTTTTGAATCGATCATGWAGGCTAATGCGTTCTATTTGCTCACCCTCCCTCGAAATCGTTTTCCTTGCTTCTCTTGTGCCTGGTTTTCTACTCATTGACCTATTGCTTTAAATTATTGCTAAAAATCCCCGATGGAAAACTTCTTGAATCCAACTCAATCATTGATATTCTGTAAGCATATGTATGGCATACTTCATATATATTATTGCTCACTTTCTAAACCGTATAAAAAAATTATAATATTTAAGCTTTAACGTCTTACCAAGAAATATTCCACCAATATCCAACAAGAAGAAAAAATTGCAACATTGAAAAAGCAACATTTTTCTAAGTTTTTGTATTTATTGCAGCGTTTCTTCTTTGTATAATTTTGTGCACAATCYGCTTCCAGTAATTTATAAAATGAAAAGTCATCACTTATGACAACCAGCTGTTATTGCAACAACAAATGCAATACATCACCCATAAAGTTACGATTTTTACACACACAGATGTGAACATTTGAGAACACACCCACAACTACTCACACTCACCGCCACACRCACATGCAAACTATTCTCTAAATTTGTGCTTGCTCCGTGCTATTTGATTGTGCTTATTTTCTGTGCTGTAATTTTTTTTTTTTTTTGCCTTTTATGCTTACCACAAATATGTATGTATGTATTTGCAGTTTGCCGGAAATGTTCGTCAATTGGCCATATTACCCTGCTACATACCTGGTGCTGACGCTCTCCGGCGCCATGACGGTTTTCACTTTTAGCGCAGTCGATGGCTTTTTCCTCTGCGCCTGTGTGTATACGAGTGCGTTGTTTCGCATGTTGCAACATGACATACGTAACGCATTCGCTGAATTGCAAGAACGTGAGTAACAAACGGTGCAATAAAATGCTCACATATACATACATATRCACATACGAGTATACACCCAGATAATAGTACTTATCCGCCGCAGTGCACATATTTCGCCGAAAACACATTAGGGTGGTCCGATATTTTTTAGTTTTTAATACACATAAATTATTAATGGGAAATGGCCTGTCTCTTATACACATCTAGATGTGTATAAGAGACAGCATTAGGGTGGTCCGATATTTTTTAGTTTTTAATACACATAAATTATTAATGGGAAATGGCGGACTATTTGATAGGGCTCTTGTACATTCCCAATACTAGGATCATGGAGAAATATTCGACTAAAACTGTAGGCTTCTCAGCAATGACCATTTACTTCTTACTAATGCTGTGGGCTTCTCTGACTTGACCTGAAAAGCGACCGTACCACCATTTCAAATGAACTTTAGAGTTATTTTCCAAACGCTTTTCAAACGAGGATATCTCTAATCAAGAAAGGCCGATGCAGTGAACTTTTTCGACAGCTAAAACTCTTCAACTCTTTCGAAACCAATATAATCAATAACGTGCGTTTTGGTAAGTCATGGCGATTTCTGCGAAAAGCGTATAACCTCCAATGATTGAGAGGTTATAGGTTTTCTGACGACTTCAGTGTCTATCAACCATCATTTTTAAACTGTCGTTTGACTAACATTGAAATTAGTGCCTTGGGTCCGATCCAACTATTTTCTGTCATCTACCAGTACTTCAAAGTTCAATTGCAGTCTCATCACGGCTTATTTACCGTTCTTGTATATATTGGGTAGTCGAAAAAGTCGATGTTTGGGTACCACATGAATTGTCTGTGAAATATTTAATGGACCGAATTAACATCTGCGATTCTTTGCTGAAACGAAATGAAATCGAACCATTTCTGTAGTGAATGGTAACAGGAGACAAAAAGTGGATCAAATACCACACTAATGTGCGAAAAAGATCATGGTCCAAGCGCTCAACAAATGGTCGCAAAGCCAGGATTGACGCCTCGAAAGGTTATGCTGAGTGTTTGGTGCGTTTGAAAAGGTATCATCCATTAGCAGCTGCTCCAGACTGGTCGAACGATTGATTCTACATCTTACTGTTAACAACTGATGAGATTGAAACAAGCAATCGAAAAATACGAAAMGCCTTTTCGACTATCCAATATCCAATCAGAGCTGACTTAAAATGCCGGACGTCTTCTTCTAGCCTCTCTTTCTTTTTTTTTAAGATCTGTGAAAAAGACCAACAAAAATGTTTGATAGAATATTTTTTTTTCTATTTTCCTAAGGACCACCCTAATATACATACAAAAGATATATGAACATACATATATTCTATTTGTGATATGTGCACACATACACCCAAAACCGGCACATACACATTCCACACCATGTGTTGGCCAAAGCGTGCTACAATTTACAATTTACTAACTGGACTTGCACTCATCTAAGTCAACGCCAAATAGTGATTGATTCAATTTACAAAATTTTTATAAACTGCCACACACCCCACTCACCTCAACCTCACCTCCTATTATCCAGTCTTCTCACATCTCACATCTCACATCTCACTTATAACTTTTGCCTTTCTTACTTGCATGTCCTCGTTGTATTCGTCGATGTTGCTGCTAGTGGAGCACTCAACGTTGGCGCAAAACATGCGGATACAGCATCGATTGGCGGTGCTCGTTGAGCGCCACAACAAAATCATCGATCTGTGCAGCGATTTCGCTTCGGAATTTTCACTCATCATCCTGATGCATTTCCTTTCGGCATCGCTGGTGTTGTGCTTCAGCATTTTGGATTTGATGTTGGTGAGTTTGCATGTGTGGCAGCAGCCACTTGGTTGCTGACGTGCTTTTCAAGTGTTGTGAATTATGTTGTGAATTGGTGCTTTGTTGTTGTTGTAGTAGCGCCATAACTTTTGTTATCAAGAAAGTAACTTCCTTTTGTGTAACTTTTAGGAGCGCACCAATATTCTATAATTATTTTCAATGTTGGTGCATTTTGGACTCACTCTTATACATAGATGTACATATATGCCAATCGTGGGGAGCTCTCGAGAAAGGCTATTATTTGAATTTGTTTGAGGATTATGAAATTGATAAACAGTTTCATGAAACATCCGTTCTTTCGCATTTCAAGAGTTGGAAGTTGTCTGACCTATTGTTGTAAGATACTTCAAAAAAATWTCGGACTGTTCAATTTTGGTAGAAAATGGTTAATGCTGCAAAAAATTATCTCATTGTAATTAGTTTTAAAGCACTTAATACTAGTTCACGAGTTCTGTTCAGATCTACAGAAAAAATTGTCTCTAATTGCGGCTGCTATTGGACAAGCAATNTAATTAGTTTTAAAGCACTTAATACTAGTTCACGAGTTCTGTTCAGATCTACAGAAAAAATTGTCTCTAATTGCGGCTGCTATTGGACAAGCAATGTCAACGCTGAGAGCATCTTTCGGTTCTGAAAGAGCTTCTCATAAAATGGTGTTTGCTCWTCGGTTTGGGTTTAGATTTTATTTGTGTCGAAATACCTAATTTGGACTAGCTTATCTGTATCTAGCAATCGTAGAACTAACTTATTATTAAAACTACAACCCAGAAAATGTTTACGTACCCAGTTTTTTTATAGCAGAGACCAACCGCAATACCGACAAAGGAAGGGAAGACCAAAATGCAGATGGTGAAACCTCTCCTCTCTAAATCTGCAGATTTCCAGATAAGAGAGTTTATGCTATAAATATATACTTACCCTTTGGTTTTAACCTTATTTCTACTGTAATTCCCTTCTAACTAGATTTGTGTGCTTTGAGGCTTAACAATAAAACAATGGCTATTATTTCTGCATCACTCATTCCTATTACCAATGTTATTCTAATTATCCGTACATTGATAAATACTTAGTTATGATTTAATGATGTTAATATTATCCTTACTGAGATTACTTACCATTACYAATCATGCAATGTTAGCATAACGTCATAATTACAATACTCCCGAAATTACTAACTGTTTTAACAATTACATTATAATAATTACTAGTGCTATAGTCATCAATAATTCTAGTAGTGACTTTCTTGTAATTTAGTTAGTATTTTCATTACGAAAACATCTTTCCATTAATATTAATTAGTAATTTAATTAACTAAACGAATACGGTATGCATAATTACCATTATCAGTACATTTTTATGATAATTACTTTGTTATAATTTAGTTAGTATTTGCTAAAATTTCTTTCAATTAATATTGGTTAATAATTAAAATACTCGAATCATTACATTTTTCATAATTACCATTACCAATACATTTAAATTACATAATCATTACCATTATTATTACTTAAATTTACTCAAATACATTATTATTAACATTAATATAATTAGTAATGGTACTTAAATTACTAAAAAATTTTAAATTAATATTAGTTAATAATTAAAAAAATGAAACCATGCATTAAGTATAATTACCATTACCCGTACATTTAAATTATAAAATAAATACCATAATTATGATAAAAATGACTCTAATTCCTCTTTTCCGTTATTACCAAAATTATTGTAACATTCTCAATTACTGTTACCATTACCGCTACTGGAATCACTWTCACCTTTCCAATTACAATTATCAGTATTGCTTCATTGAAAAAATCGCAATTAAGATTTATTTTAATATGAAGACACATACATACATAAGTAAGAAAATATTTTTTCTTCTTGGTACATTACCGTTTCCGTTCCAGAATTCCTCTTCTGTAGGCGTCTTGACTTACATATTCTACAGCATCGCCGCATTAACTCAACTGATTCTCTACTGCATTGGCGGCACTTATGTCAGTGAAAGCGTAAGCCTTGTTTCGCATGTAGTAAGACTGTGGATACCCACATATTTCCATGTCTTTTCAGAGCCTGAAAGTTGCTGAGGTCATATATGACACCGACTGGTACAAGTGTGATGTGCGCACGCGTCGCATGTTGTTGCTGATCATCTGTCGCGCACAGAAGGCGAAAACCATACRGGTGCCATTTTTTACGCCATCGCTGCCAGCTTTTCGTTCGGTAGGTGATATAAACTATAATAATTCTACAAGTTCCTTTTCATTATAATTCTGTTAACTATTTATGTACATACTATATATGATTTTCTATTCCAT